TAGAGCTGTAGCAACCTTATTGACTCTCCGCACCCTACTCCAAGTGAATGCCAGCAAAAGAGCTGGGTCCTTCCCCTTCTCCACTACTGGTGCACAGCTTGTGGGATGAAACCCTGAGGGACCCCCGCCCAAACACATGCACACACTCTAAGGGAGCCTAGAAAGATTCAGAGCCATTTGCGCTGCTGCCCCCCCACCCCCCCGCCCCCCCACCCCCCCCAGCCCCCCGCTCCAAGAGCAGCTATCCAGTCCCTGAGTAGATCCCTGTTAACTTGCTCTGCTCTACACTAAGCGAGTGCTACCAAAAAGACAGTCTCATCCTCTGCCCAGGGATGCTGTGCACGTAGAACATGCAGTATTGACCCCTGATAAGAAGACAGGGAACACAAAGCCCCAACTTTTTACCCAAAAGAACAGCAATGGGGATCGTTGGAAATCAGAAAGTGAAGAGTAGATTATGGAGAGGAAGGAGCTGGAGAAAGGGATATTTTAAATCTGTGTATGAAGTCCTGAGCCTATCCCAGATTCGTGCATGCATGAATCCAACCAGATTCAGCACAGTACAGATTCTGAACACTTAACTCAAGTTTCAGATTGGCCTCTGGGAGAGACACAAGTGAGATGGACCAAATATCACTGCAAAGACTGAAAATCAAATTGACATTGGAACCACAGTCCACAACAAGTGAATAAGGACAGGTGGTCTGTTCTCAACTAAAGTAAGTAATCACAAGAACACAAATCCAGATGATTTAAACAGCATCCAGAATCTCATAATGTAATATTCAAAATATCTAGGATAAAAATCTAAAGTTACTGGACATAAAAGGAATCAGGAAAACCCAAACATCTCTTAAGAAAAAAGACCATCAATCAAGAGATGCCAATGACAAGATGACCCAAATATTAGAATGATCAGACAAAAATTTTAATGCAGCTATTATAATGGTGGAAGAGGGATAAAACTTTCCTGGATTCCTCATTACTCCTCTAAAAACCTCTAGCCTCCTGAGAATTTTCAAATACGATGAGAATTTGATCTATAGCTGTTTGTCAGGCTAATTGCTCTGATCTGAACGGATAATAAAACTTTTCTAATTTCCCTGGGAGGGCAAAATTATTAAAGTCTGGACTAGACTAGATCCCTAGGTTAAACTCACAGTGTGCTGGGGAGACTGGCTCAGTAGCTTCCTAGGTATTTACATGTCCAAAAAAAGATGAAGCCTCAGAACTTGGAAACATTTGTAAGTTGTAAGAGTTGAGACACACAGAGCTATCTGGCTCCTGGAGAGATTTTATTTACATATCAAAAAGTTGGAATTTGGAATAAGGCCCTTATGTTTGTAAGGAGACCTTCTGATGAGGGGTGGAAGATGAATGACTCCTTGCTCCTTATAAGCCGACAAAAATTATCTTCCTCATCTCTCCTCTATGAAGTGTCTAGCACTTATGTGCGAACGAAGGCTAGAACCTAAGAGGGCAATGACACACTTATTATCAAGAAATCTGTCTTTGACCCATAACACCTCATTTGCACATTCAGTATAAAATTAACCAAAGATGAGTATTAAAAACTCAACAGTAGCCATGGCACAAGAACAATGGGCAAACATTCTTGGAATAAAAGGAAACACAGAAGTTTTCAGTAAAGAAACAGAAGCTACAAAAAAAGAATGAAATGACTTAAAAGATAGGAAATAGGGTATAGGAGAGGAATGAAAAACAGGCAAAAAGAAAACTAATAAACTGATAGGCATAAATATAAACATATGAATAATTTATTTAAATGTAAATGATCTAAAAACATCAGTTAAAAAGATAAAGATTGTCAGATTGGATAAAAATAAAAATAAGACCCAACTGTATGCTATCTACAAGAAGTCCATAGGAAGCATAATGATCCAGATGATGGATCTGTATGGATCCATAATGAGCCAAATGAAAGGATGGCAAAAAATAAATGATTCAAATGCTATTCAAAAAAAATGGAATGGCTATGTGATTACCACACATAACCAACTTCAGAACAAAGAAAATTACTATAGATGTTTTAAAAAAATCACCCAGGGGCGCCTGGGTGGCTCAGTTGTTAAGCGTCTGCCTTCAGCTCAGGTCATGATCCCAGGGTCCTGGGATCAAGGCCCGGGCTCCCCGCTCTGCGGGAAGCCTGCTTCTCCCTCTCGCACTCCCCCTGCTTGTGTTCCCTCTCTCGCTGTGTGTCTCTCTGTCAAATAAATAAATAAAATCTTTAAAAAAAAATCAATACATTGCAACCAAGTAAGGTTTATCCCAGTGATGCAAGGCTGAACATTTGAAAATTAATTAATGCAATTCATGTATTAAAAGCCTTAAAAAAACACATGATCATGTCAATAAAAGCATAAAAAGCCATTTGGCAAAATTCAGCATTCATTCGAGATTTTTTAAAATATCTCATCAAATTAGGAACAGAATGAACATCTTAACTTGATAAAGTTTATCTACAGAAACACCTACAGGAAACAACATTCTTAATGGTAAGGTACTGAATGTTTTTACCCTAAGATCAGAAACAAGACAAGGGTGTCGGTTCTCACCACGGTTATTCCATATCATACTGCAAGTTTTAGCCAGTTCAAGAAAGCAAGGAAAAGGAATAAAAGGCATTTAGACTGAAAAGAAAGCAATAAAACTATCTCTAGTCACAGACAATAGGATTTTCTATATAGGAAATCTCAAGAATCTATAAAAAAATGCATTACCAGTTCAAGGAAGTCAATGGTATTTCTACCCACTAGCAATGAAAATTTAGAAACTAAAACTTAAGAAAAGATTATATTTACAATAGCTTAAAAATTAAATACTTAGTCATAAATCTGTATACTAAAAAGTGTAAAATGTTGATGAAACATATCAAAAAAGACCTAAAGAAATGGAGGCACATATAAAATTCTTGGATTAGAAGATTCAGTATGGATCAGATATCAATTTTTCCCAAAAGAATCTATAGATTTAATCAGTCCCAATAAAAATCCATTGTAACTACAAAAGATTCATTTGAAATATATATGGAAAAGTAAAGAAACTAGAACATCCAAAACAATTCTGAAAAAGAAGAGCAAATGTGGATACTATTCAACTTTAAGGCATTCCATGAAGCTATAGTATCAAGACAGAATAGTACTGGTAAAAAGATAAACATGTAGAATAATGAAACAGAAGAGAGACTCTAGAAATAGATCCACTCAGATACTGTCAGCTGATTTGGACAAAGGTGCAAAGGAAATTCAAAGGAGAAATGCAGTCTTTGCAATAATTGATTCTTGGAACCATCGACATCCATATTAAAAAGTAATAATAATCCTCAACCTACATCTTGCACCATACACACACATGAGAACTCAAAATGTAAATGTAAATTGATATAAAATGTAAAACAATAAAGCAAATGTAAAGCATGAAACTATAAAATTCTTAGGTCAAAACAAAGGAGAAATATTTATGACCTTGGGTTAGGAAAGAGTTCTAAGATATAATGCCCGAATTATGATCTGTCAAAGAAAAAAATTAGTGAATTTGATTTCACATTATGAAAAATACTTCTGCTCTGTTAAGGACACATTTAAGAGAATAAAAAGGCTAGTCACAGACTGGAAGACAATATTTGCAAATCATGTATCAGATAAAGGACTCTCAAAACTGAAGAATAAGAAAACAACCCAATTTTCAAAGAATGGGCAGAACATTTCAACAGGTATTTTACAAAAGAAGATATGTGGATGAGAAATAAGCATGTCAAAAGATGCCCAACATCATTAAGTATTATGGAAAAGTAAATTAAAAGTAATGAGATACCATTACACATCTAATAGTATGGTTTAAATAAAGAATAATGATAACACCAAGTGTTGATGAAGATGGGAAGAAACAGAAACCCTCAAACACTGCTGGTGAGAATGTAAAATTGTGCAGCCACTGAGAAAAACAGTTTGACAGTTTCTTATAAACTTAAACACACACTTACTATATAACCCAGGCAACTCACTATAGGTATTTATCCTGGAAAAATAAAAACAAATTTTGCCCCCAAACCTGTACATGAATGTATATAACAGAATTATTTAAAATTGTTTCAAACTAGAAACAATCCAAATATTCTTCAGTGAATGAATGGATACAGAAACTGGTTAGTACATCCACAAGTGGAATACTACATAGCAATATAAATGGACAAATTATGATACACACAAAAACTTGGATGGATCTCGAATGTAGTTTCCTAAATGAAATAACCCAGTCTCAAAATGTTACATAACTGTATGAGTCCATTTCTATGACAGTCTAGAAAAGCAAAAACATAGAAACAGAAAAATCAGTAGTCACCAGGGATGGGGAGGGTCAGAATACAAAGGTCAATGTTATGGGAGAATTCTTTGGCAGTGTTGACATTTTTCTGTATCCTGTCTGTGGTGATGGTACCAAGAATCTATACAAGTATAAAAACTCATAGTTCTGTACAACAATAAAGTGGATTTTACTCAATGTAAGTATACAAATTAAAAAACATTATAAAAGAAATCTCTTCTGGGGACTTTGTGACAATGTATTTACATTGGAAGAAAATTCTCAGGATTTAAGAGTACAATAAAATGTTTAAATCTCACACCAGTTAAAGACGATATGCAAACCAGGTTATTAAGCAAGAGAAAATCAAGAAGCTAGAGGCAACCAAGTAGCAAGGATCAAGAAGCAAAAGTATATAAGCTCTCCTATAAATAACACATATGTGTAGCTTCTTAAAATTCCTCCCTACCACCCAGACAGAGATCAGGGAGTGAGGTGAGAAGAATAGGAGGATTTACACAAGAGGAAGTAAGGTGAGAGAGATACAAGAGTAACTTAGCCTCTACATCAAATGAAGGGTACGGTAATTTTCCAGGTACACTGACTTAACCTCAATTATTGACTTCAGCTCTGTCTCTAAATACTACCAGGAACAGAAAATCCATATTCATCAATACCTCTTCAATAGCACCTGCAGAAATCCTGTGACCTGCAACATTTATCACATCATCAACTCGAGACATAACATATAAATAGCCTTCTTCATCCATGTAACCAGCATCCATGGTGTCATAGTATCCCTGAAAATAAGAACCGATAATGTCTAATTAGCATGTATTGCTAGGTAAAGTTTGTTATAATATAAAATCTGATAGAAATGGATTTACTGCATGCATTTGACTTTTTTCACTACTAGGCTATAGAATTAAACTCCTTTTGATTTTGATAACTTACTAGAATCTCTTTGTTCCACTAATAGCCAGGGCTAAATTTAAGCATTCTTATATATATATTCAAGTTAAATGTTTGAGAGTTGTGAAGTTTATGAACTCAATTTTTTTTTAATGGAGAAGTAATAGTTCAATATTTCCAATATACTTTGGTATTGCAAAGTAATTCTTTGATAGATTTCTTCCTTAATTATATTAATTTTTAAAAGCTTTAAAGCTCTCTATAAATAATTACAAAATAGAGAGCTAGTTTACTAACATGAATCTGGGTTAGACTCTAACTTCCATGAAATATAATAATAGGGGTGAAATTTAATTTTTAATCAACTCAAAGTAGTAGCACATCTTCACTGGTCCAGAAATCACAACAGAAATGAAGAATCAAGAAGAATAAGTAGAAACAAATACTACTTCTAATGCTTTTCAGTTATCTTGATACTTACGTTAATAAGCATGGGCTCTAGGAAAAATCCAGATGAGTCACTATTTGTGCTTCTTATTCTTTCTGAGACTCAGTGTGCTCATCTGTTAAACAGGGTAGTGGACTATACCCTATAAGGCTTCTGTGAAGCATAAACGAGATAGTGTATCTAAAGAGGGCAGACCCTGGCCCACCATAAGCCCTCAGTAATTGGCAGCTCTTACTGCAATTTCTACTGGAGAGAAAACCTAGAGCACAGTTAAAGAGCACAGACCGTGGAACCGGCCATTATGAGTTCCATTTTCAGCTCCATCACTTCTAAACTATAGGCAAGTTACTCAACCCTTCTGTGCTGTGATTAAGCCCTTAGATGAGAAGTTTGAAGTCAGGGTAACACGGCAAGAATATATATACAGAGTCACTCCACATAGTTTAACCATAAACTGAGACTCTGAAGGAGCTTTCAGTGTTAAAGGTGATCATGTTAAAACCACAGGCACACCTTATTTGCCATTGTCCGGTGTAATTAATCATATCAGTACTCTGATGATTTAACGGTGGCCCATCGGGCGGATAGATTGGGCTGACCCGGAGTCAACTCTACTAACAAATCTTCCTGGCCATACTCCATCCATCGGGGGCCTGTTTAATCTCAGCTACTGAGGTCATTTAACTCCAAGATCTCTTTCTAAAGGAAGCTATTTTAAATCTTGTCATTTGTCTGCTTGATTAGATTACCTGTCCTTCACTCACAAATAATAAAGATAAAATGTTAAACACTGAAACTTGTTTTTGTTTTTAAAGGAAATTCTGACCTTTTTTTTTTCCACCTACTTTATGATGAGAACCAAGAATCTCTCGGAAAGAAATAGAAGTCAAAGGACAGCAGCAATATGATGGTGGGGCCTGATGTGTATTATCAGTAAAGTGCTCTTATGAACACAAAACACATCTCGGTGACGTGGAGAAACAGGTAAATGACAAGACAAAAACAGTTTTTGTCATCCAGGTGACTGGAGTTTGTGCTACAGGAACACCATGTCTAGCATGTATCTGTATTTTAAAATGGGAATTTAAAATAAAAAGCCAAGAGAACATTCAGGAACGAATGTCAAAAATAGGTAAGGGAATGGAAAAATACAACTGTGGGCAATCCAAATGAACTTTGCTCACATAGCATAGATAAAGGGGTCCCAGTGACAGGGTCCAATTCTGATCAGGTGCTCTGCAGAGGGATCCAATGCAGGAAAGAACAGAGACAGCCCCCAAAAGTCTTTAATTTAATAAAAACTTTCCTGATATTGAGGGCTGCTAAAATTCAGGAAAATGTGCTAAGAGAAACAAATGTATATGTCCAGAGACTGAAAAATAAATACAAAAATGACTTATTTCGATCACTGGGGTGTGGGCATTCTGATTTCTGAGATCTAGAACTTGGTCCAGATAAACTTTAAAAGTTGTATTTTTATCTATGATTCCAGGACTGAGTGCTCAATTTAATAGGCAAGAACTATAAAGAAGTACTTTGGAAGGTTTAAAGAAAAGTATAATAAAGTTCTTACAGGAAATTTTTCAAAGTATAAATGCTTGAATGCTTCCTGATTCTTCCAGAGTCCTGAAAAAGCCCCAGGTGGTAATGGCAACCTTATATAAAAACAGAGCAGTTAGAATTATGATCAAAGTGGTAATAAAAATAGATTGATTAGAATAATTTTCTAGTGTGATGGATAATTGCAAGTCAAATCCCACACTGAAATATAACCCCTAAATCTACTGGACAGATCATGTCTAATTGAGGCTGAAGTAGCTGACCATGACATAGCAGTGTCATTGAGGGATGACTGTAGTTTCTGGAAAGGTCACAAAAGGCATATATAGCTGGCATTCAAATAGATATTAGCAGCAATCACTGTTTCAATAAGCGTAACATCTGCAAAAAGGAACCACAAATGCATCACTGAATTACTTTTTAGGACAAATATCCTTCTACCATAGGCAAATAATTTTTTTTTTTTTTTGAAGTTCCAAGGTCCTAACTGCCACTTCTGCCCATCTCTGTGTGATGAAATGCTCCAAGTCAACATTCCAGGAACAATCTTATCTTCCCAATCAATCTGCATCAGGGAATTCCCTCTCACTACGCCCTCTTGTATTCTTCCTTTTCATGACCATCCCAATCTATGTGATTTCTCATCTGATGAACACATGGAGATACTTGAGAATATAAAATATAAGATAGGATACACCCTTCTTTCCAACTAATTTGCTCTTATATTTCTTGCTTTCCTCCATAGTATCAAACAGGTGTTATACACTTGGCAAGGGCTTCATCTTTATCTGTCTATCTTGATACAAGTAAATGAACAGTTGTTTTCTGGACACAAGAACATTTTCAGATGTTTTACAGCTTGGAAATTCAGATGCTGTAAAACATGGATTTTCAAAAACCTTCCCTCTCCAGGCTCACGTAATAAAAAATACAAAGTGAAGCAGTGACTTCACAGTACTGATTCTGAGAAAACTGAAAACAAAGTAGACATGGCTACTGCCCACATGAGGCAACGTCCTACATCCTCCACCCAACATTAGGCCTCCGAGGCTCTGAACTGTAGTCTCACGTTCTATCAGGCAGAAAGTGCCGTTACAGGTGGATCCGCAGCTCAGCTCCACCATCCCCAGCCTCCCGGTAGGTCCTCTCCTTGTGAGGTCTTCATTTTGTACTATTTTATGATGGAGGAAAAAATGCAACATCTGCATTTCTGGACCTCATGTAATTGCATAAAATGCATATGAAAACAATTTGTAAAGAGAACGACAGAGATTCTGCTGTTGTTACTATTGCTGTTCATCACCAAACCTGCGCGAAGGCAGTAGGCTGAGGCAGATGATCCCTTTGGGTCCTTGTAACTGACTTTGCTAGGTCAATCCTCAATCACTATGTATATAATTTCATTTCGTCAGTTTGTTTTTATTGTTAATATTTTATAAACAAGTGTAAATCATTGGTAATTAAACATGGAAATAAAATATGAATATGGCAGCCACCAAAACATTCAATTCAGCATCCTTTTCAAGATGCTGAGGATAAAGAGGTGAACAGGACACCAAGAAGGGATGGTAGATGGTAAATCAAAAGCCAATCCAGGCCAGAAGTGATAACATTAATGAGTGAAGCCGACTATATGTAAAATAAAAGACCTCGACCATAATCTCAGTGGAGATGGGTTCTGTTCACATATTAAATGAGTAATTTTCAGTTGTTTCCCTCCCCCAAATATATCCTGATATATATTCCTTTGTTTTTCGTGGTGATATTTTTAAACTATACTCTAAGAAAAACAAAAGGTAACTATGATAATAAATGGCAACTGACACCCAGGCAGCTCTGGGGACATCAGAGACTGCTGGGGTCTGAGGCAAATTAGAATGCGGACACCACGTCTAATGAAAGCAACTTTTTCTTAGCTCCATCTGATTGCTGGTATACAGAAATGCCCATCCAAATCCTGAAACACTTAACATTGCCCATATTAAAAACTATGCATATAGAAGGACCTACTGTTCAATAAGCTTCTCTTTCATTTTATACAAATTTTGATCCCCCCAGCAGTAGAGACGCCTAAGTATTTGCACTAATAATCCAAATGAATTAGTACTTTGGGTACTGCATGCAATCTGACTTTCCCGGTGGCCTAGTATGTACCTGATTCAGTCAGTGTGTGTACATGGGATGGAGAGTGCAGCATTTTCTGGTAAGGGTGTTACTAGAGAGAAAAGGAACATTTTATACTTCCTAGAAGTTGGTTACATCTGCAACCTCTGTCCTTAAAAAGAAGATGCCCTGATAATTTGGTTTTTCTCTTACTTCCTGAGAGAACTATGGTACCAACAATTAGTAACAGATAGATTATATTCTTATAATTAATTAAAGCTTAGAGAATTAAAGTATAGGTAGCCATCCTCCGGGGGGGGTAATTAATGAACTTTAAGGACATGGGCTTTTTCAGCTGTTGCACAACATTTTAAACACCTACTTAAATTTTTTGAAGAACAGGGACAGGAGGGATTTTTATACAATTTCTCACTCCTGTGAGAAAGGTCTGCATAAGTCTGTATAGACCTATAGACCCTGAGAATTAATAACATACCAAGGATATGATCCAGGGACAATGCATGAAATGGAAGGAAAAATTCAAGGGCAAATGCTATTCTTCTTTAAGAAACAAAGAAATAAGATCAGGGAACAAAAACAAAAGAAAATCAGATGTTTAAGAACTAGGAAAAGATAGTATCTTAGGAGCCACTCCAGTAGAATTTTAATAATGACTGAGTGTTCAACAAAGTCATAGAAGCACAGATTTTGTTTGAAAGTGATTCAATAGAGGTCAGGGAACTTAGTGATTAAGATCATTTGAGTATTCTTAGGATTGCCATTTCAGTGATGTGGAGCAGACAATAACAGGAGTGATTAAAAAGTAAACAGGAAGTAAGTGGAGGCAGGAAGTTAGACTACACTTTTTAAAAGTTTGTGGAAGACTGGAAGGAAAAATATGTCATTGATTTAAGGCAGAGAAGCAGGCTGATTTAAGATGGGGACTATGTGAATAGAAGTAGCCAGTGAGGGGGCAATGAAGATATGAAAGTTAGAGAAGAAAATACCAGAGGAATTATGTTTTATTCATTCATTCATGTATGCATGCATGCGTGCATTAACTCATGTATTTATTTTCTTCATTCAGTCAATATTTGTTGGATGCTTGGTATTCCTCAGTCACTGTGTTAGACATTAACGATATAAAGATTTAAATTCCGGTCTCAGACACATGAAGATCCTGGCATAATGGTACTATAAGAAACTTAGTATTTTTATAATATAGATAAGGAGAAAGACTGTCATGAATGATGTGTATTCCATTAAGTTAATGAAATAACATAAAGATGTTTGTCAGGCAAGTTTTATAGCAGGTCCTTAGACTCTGTACCGGCAGGAGCTCTTGGAAGAGAGTTTTATCCCTCACACTAAGCCCACACCTAAAAGCCAAGGTGTGGATCTGCTGGAAATGGCATCTGTGCCTCCTGACCATTTTTGAGATGTCCCAGAAAACTACTTCAATATCCCCGAATCTAATTGAGGAACAGGCTGGAGAGCAAGATAGGAGATTGCAATTAGTACTTAGTAGGATAAAATGAGGGAATGCTATCTGTTCTTCACTAATAAAGTCTGATACATTTTAAAAATTCAGATGTTGCAATTTCAGTATTAGAAAAGGAGTCTAAAAAAGGAACCTTGAAAGATGCCATATAATGGTCCTAAAGAAAAGCAGGAAAAGAGGCTTCCAGAATTGGGAGTATGAAATAAAACAGGAGCAGCAATAAGCTCCAGAGAGAAGTTAGGTGTGTATGAGTTAGAGCAGATTTTTTTTTTTTTTTTTTACAAAATTCCAAATTAACATTTTTCTTGTTGAATATCCTAACGATTATCCTATTCCTTCTGGAAAAATGGATGCCCTGTGGATAATATCTGTCCTACCGTCTACCTCACAGAGATGTTACAGAAAAAGAAAACTATTTTCTATAGTTACAATAACATGAAGATACATTAGACTGCCAGGAGGAGGGGAAGACTTCAAAATACTGAGACATAGGCTGGTTAGTGTCTGTACTCCTCCTTCAAATCCAAGATAAAATGTTACCATTCTGTGATACCTTTCCCAACTCTTTCAAGCAGAGTGAAAGGCAAGTTTTGTTGCAACCTGTCCAACTGTGAATCAAGAGTTACCCTCAGAGAATGTCTTTCCTCAGAGACCAATCTTAAGGGGAAAGAGAAATAACAGAAGTGATCCCGTGTGTGCACGCTCACGCGCGCTGATGGGGAAGCGTGGGGGTGCTGAGAAATCCTTAAACAGGTAAGAAAAGAAGGGAATGCTCATCACTGTAGAAGACGACGTTCCAGATCACTCTGGAATGTAAAACTCTTATATGTCTCTCTTCCCAGATACAGGATGGTCTGTATTTACTGTTCCATTAGGAATCCCCATGGTAACAGAAGTACATTGAAGATATAACTCCTGTTCCCTAGAGAACTGTGGGATTAGATCCCAACTTTGCCCTCCCAGCATTTCCTATGGAGTCTGCAGGCTTTACTTGACATTTTTCACATGAGGCTACTTTTTGTCTCCCCACAAAGAGACTGATTAGGCCATAATTTCTTTCTCTCTGGACAGACAAAAGACTAGGTTATAAATGTGAGCTCTAGCTGTGTCACTACGAAAGATGTTTAGACACCCATGTCTAAAATGAGGATAATATCTGTCCCACTGTCTACCTCCCGGTGATGTCGTAAGGCTAGTAAAAGATCATACTAAAATCTGCGTATGATAGTTAGAAAGGAACATGATTACAATTATGTGTCACCCTTAGTTTTACTCAGAGGAGATGCCGAAGAAAAGAAAGCTGTCCTGACCCTTTCCCAAGACAGCAGCAAAGCGACCAAATCACTCCTGCGAAGCTATAAAGATGTGAACAAACACCGTTAGGGGACAGGAGTTCAATATCTGGAGGCTGAGAAATTGGCAGGCACCAGAGTAGAAGCCACCTGGACCCTGCCACTGCCTG